TGCAACCATGTATGACTTTGTTTATTGCAAGCAAAAGGTCCTTCTCGGTGATGGTTTTTCTTCTGGCTCTGATGGCAAACATACCTGCCTCTGTGCAGACACTTCTAATATCAGAACCGGTGCTGTTGGGGCATAACCTAGCCAGAAGCTCAAATCTAACATCTCTGCTCATATTCATAGTATTAGCGTGAATCTTAAAAATATGGGTTCTACCTTCAAGGTCAGGTAAACTAAATTCTATCTTTCTGTCGATTCTACCAGGTCTAACTAATGCACTATCTAAAGTGTCGGGCCTATTCGTAGCCATTAGTACTTTGATATTACCTCTGTTATCGAACCCATCAAGCTGATTTACAATTTCTAACATGGTTCTTTGTACTTCATGATCCCCATGTGCACTTTCATCTCCTCTAGAACCTCCTATTGCATCTACCTCATCAATAAATAGGATACATGCCTTTTTCGATTTGGCCATTTGAAATAATTCTCTCACCATTCTAGCTCCTTCACCAACATATTTCTGTACAAGTTCAGAACCAATAACACATATGAAACAAGCATCTGTTCGATTGGCGATTGCTCTAGCTGTTAGAGTTTTACCCGTACCTGGGGGGCCATACAGTAGAACCCCCTTAGGAGGATCTATTCCTAACGTTACAAATCTTTCTGGTTGTAGCAAAGGCATTTCTACCACTTCCCGTAATTTCTCTAACTGTTCTTTGCACCCACCAATATCATTGTACGTAATATCTGGCTTCTCTTCCACCGTCATCATTGTAACCGTGGGATCTATCTTTGGAGGGAGAAGAATTTGAATTTTGTATTTAGTCCTATCTACCCCTACTCTCATCCCTTCTTCTATATCACTTGGTGCAACCTTATCTCCTAACCCTACCACAAATTTTGCTATTTGCTTAACATTAATAATGTATTTTGTTTGATCTGTGTCTCCATTGATAATTTTTGTACATCTAGCTACTTGAAGTGGTTGTTCTTCATTCAGCATCTGTTTATCTAACTGTAGATCCCACTGATTCGGAAGACATAATCCTGTGTCACTTTCTCTCACTCCGCAAAGTTTGTTAATGCTAGTTACTAACCCGCTTATGTCCGATTCAACCTTCTTGATGCTCTTTGAATACGGTCCAGATCCCTGCAGTGGATATCATGAATAAAGAGGTAGGGGGGTTACAAGATGGTTCACACGATGCACCTTCGCATTGAATGATGCTGACGCGTGGTTGGAAAGAGGGGTGCACGCAGTGTGCGTGGGTGACACACTACTTATGTGAAGTCACAAAATTCGCATGGCCATGCACAAACAGCACAACCGGGGGCGAAATTCTTTCCTTTATGAGCTTTGTTTTTTCTTACGTATGATTTCAAAATGTTTATATCTTCGTCATCCAGCGGTTTGGACTGTGTGGGTGTGTCCTCATCCATTGTTAGTTCAGCAAGGACATACAAAAAGAGCGCTAAAAAGGGGTAGCAATTCTACTGAAAAAGTAAACCGCGTCAGTTGATTTCAGCGGTTTAGGATGTTCTTTTATTTTTTTCCTTTCTCTGCAAGGTTGTACATAACTTTGTTTTATTTTATTTGTTTTTTTTTTTTTTTTTGTTTGTTTTAAGTTATCCCTCTCTATCGTATCTGTTGAGTTTGGATACGTTCGATGGGACTGTACCTCTTAGCGCCAAACTCGAATGTATATTTTTATTTTTATTCTCTTTAATAATTCGCGAGAAAAATCATGCGTACACGTGGCGCAAGTGACATGTCCGGGTTGGCCATGCTGCGCGTACACGCCTTGCCACACGAGGCAGTTAAAATGCGGCTGATCGAAATCCTTCAGCTCAAGGTAAATTGTAATTTCACTTGACGCATACGGAAAGGTACACTTGCCAGCGGGATGATTAAACTAAAAAAAAAAAAAAAAAGGGATTCCTTTTGTACAAGAATAGTCTGCTTAATTTGTGTAAACTTGTACAATCTGATAAAGAGGGGAAAAATGTGAAATAATTAAAAAATTTTACCTTCGTTACCGCGTTTGGTGCCCCCTCACTTTTTTTTTTTTTTTTTTTTTTTTTGTTTTTCCAATTTTCATTCATCACCTCTAGCATGGTTTTAAAAATTAAGGAAGAGAAAAAGTAAAACATTCATTTGGCGTTTCGTGTTAACACAAGGGTGGGGGAAAGGAACAAAATGTAATTGTAAACACCAGGTGGTAAGTAACGAGTGGGTCGCACAGCAAATTATAACTCACAACCTACAAATTGGCGGTCAATTTACACCGAATTGGTTCATTTCGAATTTTTTTTATATTTTTTTGTGATGAGAATAATCGAGGCAATGACAAAAGGAGAGAAAACAACTGGCAGGACAAAAGCTGGGGTGTACACAAATATAAGTGTCTGCATGGTTTGGAAAAAGGCACCTACGGGGTTGGGGACAAGTATGCCAACGTATACACATCCCTGCTTTTCCATCGTGCACAAATGTGTACTTGGGCGAAAACATCCCCACCCCGTAAAATCCCATTTGGGGGTGACTCCACAGTTTATTCCGCAAAGAACTCTTTGCATTTCATGGAAGACAACCATTGGATTCAAACTACACCCAAGTGGTGAGAAGGACAAGACCTGAACAGGTTAGTTCTCGTCGCGGCTTCGTTCCTCCCCATTTAGTGACCCAACGAGTGCATCACTAATTAGTATTTGTAACCCTTTTTTGCTCTCATTTAATTTTACGACGTGCGCCTACCCAAGCGCTGTTCTGTGAAAGTATTCCTTTAAATGTGCCCCTCATACCCCCCCCACAAAATGGAAACATTCATGTCTGTCCCCTAAACCATGTGTCCATTTTTAAAATATGTAAGACAAAGCAAATCAATGTACTGTGTATGATATACCTACCTGAACAAAAAATTTCATTTTGTAGAAGGCGAACAAAAAAAAAAAAAAAAAATGAAAAACCGTGAGGTAAAAGCTCCTCCTTTGGGCACCGCATCCCAGTGGGCGTTTATTTTATGCCTCCATTCGTTCTGTATTTTCGCCCACAAAAAATAGCCACAATACGGTTCGAAGCATGCCTTGTCGTTAAAAACAGAGCAGCAAAAAGGAAAAATAATAAAAAAAAAACACATCGCGCATCACGCATCCCTAACTGGGGAACTCTTATTTACTTGCATAGGGATGCAATACATGAACGGAAGCTCCTAATTTGATAAACATGTATACGCAGTGAATAAACCGAGCGTCCATGTGTTCATATGTATTTAAAGTTTATACATATGGAGAGGGCATGAAGGGGAGCCTAAATGCGTGTCCCAAAAATGTTAATTTGGAGGTGTTGCAAAAAGTGTAAGTACAAATGCCGACACTGCAATTTGCCAACTTCAAAATGTCTGGGAATTACGAGTCTTATATTATATGCTCCAGGGCTGAGGTGATTGACCAAACAGCCGTAAAAATGGCTTCCCCGTTACTGTGCACGGATATGTCTAGCCGTTTCGCTAAACCTTAAAAAAAGTTTTTTTTTTTTTTTTTATTTATTCTCTACAACAGAGCAATGAAATTCTTTTTTAGCGCGTGAAACGGACGTGTATAAACTTTGCAATTTTTCGATTAAAATGTCATGTTCGTTTGCTACAGACAGGTATGCATTCTATATGCTATAAAACGTATTTCATTTTAACTTGTGCGTTTGTTCACGCTTTGTAATTTTTTCCTTTTTTTTGTCTTTTGTGCGCCCCGTTGCGTAAACATGTAAGACGGGCTGGCTGTTAACCTTTGTCACCTCTTTTGTACAATTAGCGAATGTTGAGCACGACATCTCAGCAGTTCGTCCGTTCCTTTGTCTGCTTATCCATCGTTTATTTATTATTCCTTTTTTTACCCCTGTTTTGTGCCCATTTGTTTACTGTATTTACCTTTTTTTTACTTCATTTTTTTATTATATTTTATTATATATGTTTTAAATCTTGCTTGGCGTCCTGTCATCGCATAAATATATATCCCCCAATCCGCATATGGCATTCAAATGTATTATAAAAAAAAAATATATCATCATAGGAAGTACGTTCCGGCGCCGTATATTTTGCCTTTGCAAACATGGCACGAGAAAATAAGCGCATAAACAGAACACCGTATTGTTAGTACCATTGCAAGTATTTTATTTTGCGCGTATACACATACAAGTTATTTTGAAGCGGTTTACATTATTATGCATATAATGGGGTACGTAAAAAATATATACATATAAATATAATATATATATATATAAATATAATATATATATATATATAAATATAACATATATATACATAAATACAATATATATATATATAAATACAATATATATATATATATAAATACAATATAAATATGTATATATAAATATAATATATATTAAAATATATTTATGTAGATATATATTTTTGCACATATCGCATTCATTTTTTAAAAAAATTCATCGCGTTTTTTTGTTTTTTCCATTTTTCAGCTAAATAAACGAGAAAAAAATTCCATTTCATCGTTTTACCCTGTAAGCGCCTTTTTTCCGTTTTGTTAAACAAATTTGCCCATAAAAAAAAATATATTTGCAAAAAATAACATGTGTGAAGAAGATAGCATATAAATAAAAATACGTATACGTACATGTAAACGTAAATATACATGTATACGTACAAACATTTACGTAGGTATAATTATATTACGTACATTTGTACCCCTTGCGTACCTTGAAAAATGACATATGTTTAACGCCATCCCGCGCCCATCCCCCTGTGACGTACTTTTTCATTTCGACGAAATCGAGAACTTTGACAAATCTGAGCAACGTCATTGCAGTTCAGTTAAGCAGTTATAACTCAGTTGAAGCCAGCAAACAGGGGACGAAGCGGGAACAAATAAGGAGCAAGAGAAAGGGAAAGCACAAAAAAAAAAAAGAAAAAAAAAGAAAAAAAAAGAAAAAAAAAGAACAAAAAAGAACAAAAATTAACACGATGGTTAACCATCACAACCATGATGAACAGTACAGCGCAGAAAAGTCCGAAGAAAAAAAAAATGAGGAATCCTGTCAAATAAATGAATCGACTGTATGTCCTCCCAGCACTGGTAATGGAACGCCAGGTCTTTTAGAAACCATTCATAATGGCGACGATTCGCATTACCGGAGGGAAGATTTTGTGGACGAGGAGCGCAATTTGCTTGGGGAGCTACGAAGCCAGCATGATGATGCCATAACAAGTGAGCATTCTAAGGAAGAATCAGACATAAGCGAAACGGGGCATGCCCCAGACAGTGACATCAAAAGTGATACCAAAAGAGGCAATAAAAGTGGCAATAAAAGGGACACCGAAAATGGTGACCACGGGGAGGTAGCCTGGAATGAACTGAGCAGACAGGAATCACGCGAGGATGCGGTTGACCACGTCCAGGGAAGTGAAGACCACAACAGTAGCAAGCAGTTAAATAACGCGCATACAATAAAAATGGACGAAGCGAAAGGGGTTCACGATAAATTCCAAATTGAGGGCTCTTATGTACCGCCAAGCGACGCGGCAGATGCTCTACAAATCGAGGAGGATGAGTTGCAGGAAGAAACTGATGATGGATCTTTAAGCGGCACAATATATGGATCAATAGTTGGCTCCTTAAATAGTTACCAAATAGGCTCCCACAACGTGGCCCAAAGTAGCCTTGTAAAAAATTCCTCAGATGAAGACCAAGACGAAACCGTGGAAGCGGTCGTAGCAAAAGAAGATATGATCAACATTACCAGACTTTATCACACGGGCATAAACAAAATAGAAGCAGTCATCGCCCTTTACAGGTACTACAAAAACAATTTCAATCAACGGTTCAGGGAGCAAATGAACAAATACAACCCACTTATTTACTTCTGTAGTAACAATAACTTTGAAAATCACATCAGTGTGGATTATATTAATTATAAAGACAAAATGAATGAAATAAGAACTGAAAGATTGTCGAGGCTTGTACTTTATATAGAGGACATACACAAAATAAAACAAGCTCTAAAGGTTAAACAGCATAATGAAATTCAATTGGAGGATGACGAAAAGAAAGAATATTTTTACGATGCCTATGAAGACATAGAAGACTTCTTCATTTTTGATAACACCGTCTCGTATCTTAATAATGACGTGGAAAGCATTTTTTCCGAAGGTGAAAATTCTTCATTTTTTAAAGATGATGCAAGCATAGATAATTTCTTAGAAGAGCAGAAAAATAAAATCAATGACGAATTTAATATGCTAAATTTATTTAATCGTTTTTCTTTAAAAAATTATTATATGTTCGATATTAATAAAAATTTGTGTGCAATATATGCGCGCACCCCTATGATAATTAAAAAGTTTGCGGAAAAAATCAACTCCTATAGCAGCCCAGAAAAAACGGACGCCAACTTGGATGACACAAAGCAAGACGAAGTAAACTTTCCAAGTGAACATAATAATAAGGAAAATTATAATTACTATCCTGCTGCTGTTTCTCGTGAAAATAATCAAAATTTGGATGCCTACATTCAGTTTCATTGCGATAAATGGCAAGAAAATGTGTACGACATAGTTGAAGTAAATAGCCTCGAATTTGATTTTAATCGTTTAAGGTGCAACATAATGTAAAATATGTTTTTCCCCCTTTAATATTTTGCAAAATGTGCGTTTAAGGAGATATGCAAAGGTGTATTTCCTTTTTTTTCTTTTCATTGTTATGTTTTTTATCTTTTTCTTCGCGGGCCTTGGATCATAAGGTTTTATATATGGAGGACAGCTCCGTTTATAAATAAAACACCTTCAGTGCTACAACAGAGCGTTGTAGTAACTGTCCGCTTACGCCTTATCATAAATATAAGGATTTATTTTCATCTTTTTTTCCTTTGTTTGTACACGCAGACAATTTTTGCATCTTTTAAATATGCAGAATTCGCACTTTTTAATTTGCTCCGTTTTGGTTTCTTTTCTTTT